CAGTCCGAATTGCCACTGCGGGGCTGTTGAGAATGCTAGATACATGATTTTGGAATGTCCAATGTACACTGGCGCCCGACAAGCATTTGCAGGAGAGTACTCCATGTTGTAATGGCCTCCTCGGTCCCTGGACAAGCTTGTGGAGACACCTGAGATATTTGATGCCTTTAAGAAATACGCCAGGAGGATATTCCATGAAAAAATAGCAAGAGAGGAAAGATTAAACCGGTGATATACCAAATACATAAATTTATTGTTATCATAAGATTTAGAAATAGTATATATAAACTTAGTAATAGGCCCACAATAAGTAGGTAGGAAGTTACTGGAGTCCTGCTTGGTGGGGAACAGCCCTCCAGTTGCAGGCAGCCCATTAGTGTAGGTTTACCCGTAATAATTAATGCCCCAATCAAACTAAAAGACCGAATTTTGCCTCACTTTGACCCAAGAATTTGGATCAAAGTGAAAGCAGACCTGGCCGCTTGGTTACCAATCCTGGTAACCGAGCCCTTTAAATTTGTGGCATATTTTTCAGTTAGAAAATTGGATGTACCGCTGGTATAGGGTTGCCCTAAGGTACAGCGGGGGGAAAGAAGGAAACAAAAGAGAGAGAGAGAGAGAGAGAGAGAGAGAGAGAGAGAGAGAGAGAGAGAGAGAGAGAGAGAGAGAGAGAGAGAGAGAGAGAGAGAGAGAGAGAGAGAGAGAGAGAGAGAATGAGAGAGAGAGAGAGAGAGAGAGAGAGAGAGAGAGAGAGAGAGAGAGAGAGAGAGAGAGAGAGAGAGAGAGAGAGAGAGAGAGAGAGAGAGAGAGAGAGAGAGGAGAGAGAGAGAGAGAGAGAGAGAGAGAGAGAGAGAGAGAGAGAGAGAGAGAGAGAGAGAGAGAGTGAGAGAGAAACTTGTTTACCATTCTGTCTTCATGTTTGGTCTATGTTTTTAATCCATTTTAACTATTATTATTTTATTGAATACTTTGTTCTAACACTGATATAGTGTTTTATACCTTTTCACTATTCTGTATGTATGTTTAGACTACAATAAGTCAGATAGAAGTATATTATACTTATAACAAAAGTCGATTATCCAAATCGATTGATTGAAATTTTCACTAGAGTAGTTTTATTCATCACTTTAATATTTAAGATCTCTAGTTCTCAACTTAACCTACTGCAAGTTGCTTCATTTGGTGCTTCTATTATATTTCCTCTTGAAGATTACCTTGCAGCATATCCCCTATTATTACTGCAAGAAGTACAGAAATGGAGGAAGGTGAAAAACAAACTCCTTTTCAATCACGTAAAAAGCTGGATGTATCTCCAGCACCCAATAGAGGAATAGTAAATAAAGGAGCACTGACAAGTGGCGGGGAGAGCAGCGAGATAGGAAGAGCCAAAGAGACATCACGCAGTCAGCCTAGTTCTTTGAATAGTAACAGCCAATGCTGCCGTGACGTCACCGAATCTTATCACGATACTTCGCAACAAACAATTACATCACCTGATCGGAAACATCCTGGGGAAAAGAATCCTACAGCGGGGGGAAAGGAGGAAAAAAAGAGAGAGAGAGAGAGAGAGAGTGAGAGAGCCTACTAGAATTGTGAACAATAGTATATCATTCTCCCAACTACTTAGAGGTAAGAACTCAACCGATAAATGTCAAGCTCTACCGCAACAACAATCTCAACCCCAACCTCAAAATCCTATTCATCCTAATATATCCAACCATCAACAACAAATTCATCATATCCCTCCCCCTTCAAATGCAACAGATCTCATCAGTTTGTTAGCATCTTTCCTCACCGATTTCAAATCTCTTGTTACTCCACTCATATCACTCCTCACAAATTTCGTATCTCACCTCATCCCTCCTTTAAAAAAATCCTTAAATGACTCACATCCCAAAGCCTATATTCATTCTCTTTTGGAATGCGAATGGTGTTAGAAATCATACAGACGAACTATCTACTTTACAACTTGATTGTCGTGGCACTAATTACTGAAACTCAACTAACCACTAAACAATTCTTCAAAATATCGCAATAAACCATCCTGACGGTAGAGCACATGCCGTCACTGCTGTCATTGTACACCAATCTCTGTCCCATCACCTACTGCTATTGCCTATCCAATATTTCCTACAATCCACCGCCATTGTAATCATAACCTTCTCCTTTCCCGTCACTCTAGTATCAGCATATTACCCTCCTAACAGATACATATCCAATGACCGGTTCAGTTCTCTCCTTAACTCCTTAGGACATCCTGGGAGCAGACTTAAATGCCAATTATCAAGAATAATGGGGTTCAAGAACCACAAATTCTCGCTATTGATCCTGGTTGTCTACACTCAATTCCTAAAGTTTCAGCCTCCTTCTTCCCAACTCACCTACCTACTGTCCAACTGATCCTAACCGCAATCCCCGATGTTTTTACTCACAGTGGTTTAGGTTCCCTCAATCATTCCCTTAGCCGCGACTTGATGAACTTTTCTCAGACCATAGTTCATTAATACTCCAATTATCTCTAGCTCCTATTCCTAAACCCCCTCCACTGTCCTTCATCAGAGGCCCAGTTAACTATCCATCACATCCTTTCCAATAAAATTTACCTCAGAATAACCTTGAAAACTCCAGAAGACCTTGACAATGCCATCTGTTTCTTCAACACCACCATTCGACAAGCAGTATGGACAGCTTCCTCTCCAAATCATTCCTCAAGAACCCTTAAGAAAAATAATTTACCCCAACACCTCATAGACCTAATCCACACCAAATGCTGTGCCAGAATATTATTATAACGTACCAAACATCCCATCGATCGCCACTCCTACAATTATTATTTTAACTATTAAAGCAAGAATTACTATCCTTCAGATCTCAATCTTTTTATTCATAACTTCTCTCTCTGTTCGTGACGATTCCCTCTGGAAACCACCAAAAAAATCCTAAAATCCCATTACGTTTCCCACCCACTCCGTCGAAGCGATGGCTCCTGGACAGCGTCTGATGAAGACAAAGCTGAGGAATTCGCCAGACAACTCTCCAGTACATTCAATCCTCATCCAGAATCCCATCCAACCCAGAGCGCAAAAGTAGAAGAATTGCTATCTTCACCGATTGCACACTCCTTACCACCTAAAGCAGGTAATCCATCGGAGGTCAAATACCTTTTACGCAATATCAATCCTCGTAAATCTCCCGGATACGACCTCTTAACCTCACAGATCCTTCGACAACTTCCACCCAAAGCTATCATATTCCATACATATATTTATAATTGCATCTTAAGAACAAACCACTTTCCCATCTTTTCCATACGATAGGCGGGGATTTAAAAGACTCCCTCAACACCGGAACGCGAACTCGTGACTGTGCTGTGCACACGTGTTAGCCCATTCGGCCAGGCCACCCACTAACAATACTGAAACATATTTGAACTTACGGACTAGAACTGTGGGGAACACTAACATCAAACGCATCCAATCATTCCAGTCAAAAGTCCTTCGAACAATAGTCGATGCTCCTCATGTCGATGTAACCAACAAAACTCTACATGATGACTTCAACATCCCATTTGTCTTAGACCTTATCCCAGAAAATTATCCAAATTTCACCATAATCTTACGTATCATCCCAATTTTCTTGCACAATCTCTATTAATCACCATCCATCCCTATAATCCTCCAAGAAGGTTGAAACGGCAGTGGCCCCGCGACATTTTGTAGATTGTATATATTGGAGTTCTGGCAATGACCAGATTCTCCACTCAAGACATGAGTGTATGTGGCTAAAGTGCTCTCGATCAATCTCTGTTGGCTTTAGTACCAGTGAAGCAGTTGAGAGAGTAGCGCAGGGTTCTCCTGGAGTCCAGCTTTTCCTTCCATAGTTGGAGGGACAAGCCTGCTTCAGAGTTCCCTCCCCTGATTGTAAATATTGTATATAGGTATGCATGTGTTTTTTGCTTTGTTTTAATTTTCTTATTTTTATATTATTTTATTTTATTTATTGAGTATACTTTTTTATTATTATTTATCGTTATTTTACTTCTATTTATTTTATATATTTCTGTACATATAGTGTGAATGTTATTCTACCTCACTATAACTAATGTCAAAGTGAGAGATTGTTGTGATACTCAATAAATAAAAAATACATTGTACAATATGAAATTCAACTAATTTTTTTTTTAAATTGTTTAAATTTGTTTGTTGTTAAATTGTTGTTTTAAATATTAAAAATGTTTACAAAACTATAAATGATTGTTACAAATATTCCAAGTTAATGATTATCGGATTGATATAAGAAAGAAACGGCTATATAATTTAAGAGAAAAACTACAAAAAATTACAATAATAAAAATATTATAAGGATAATTTTAAGATTTTGTATAAATATATCATATTAAGTTATATTCCATTCAGAAGTTATGTTGTTTTAATAAGTTATGTTAATTAATAAGGCTAGTATGGGTCATATTTCATAACTATTATATCAGAGATTGAAACTTTTATAAAAAGTTCCATTTTCTGTCAAACATTTTAGAAAAATGTACTCATAATAAACATAAATAAAAAGTTCCGTTAAATGAAAAATAAACAGTGACTGGGGAGAGATCAGAGTTATAATTTTTCGTAAACAAATTATACACGATTCTAGCGTATCGTTTGTTTGAGTAGCAATGAATAAAAGTCGTTTTTTATATAGACTTTTTAGCGAAATTGAAAAACCTTTACTTGAAAAGTTGCAAGGGAAAAAGTTCAGATTATCAAGAGAACTATCGGTAATAAAAAGTTTGGTGAAACCGATTCGTAAAAATAATTTTTTTTTTTTACGTTTGCAGACCTGTGTTATAATCTTATGATTACATATCAAAATCACTCACCGAAAATGCAAGAAAGAATCGTGTTAATTTTTAAAGGAGTCTATTTTTTATTTATTTTAATTACTTAGTTCATATATATATATATAAGAACATACACATTTAAACATGAATATTGAATACTAACTTATGTGTGAGAGGTCCAACGAAAGGATTGGCCAAAAGCTGTACGAACGCCTTGGAGGCGAACATTATCCCAACAGCAACTGTCTCCTCCACTAGATCTTTGTGCCGTTTCTCACCTTCGTTCGGAACAGCGGTTGTGTTTTCTGAAAGCGAATGTAAAAACATATAATGCAAAGAATAATAGAAAAGAACAAACTAATTAGTTATCACTAGGTTGTTCAGAAATGCACATACCATTTTATGAGAATTAATTATTTGCATTCAGGAGACCTCAAAATGTGTATTTGAATCTCTTCAAAAATCCGATTAAAAATTGTTTACGATTGCAATACTTTTTCTATTTTTTATAGACTTATTTTTTCCTTATTATTAAACAGAATTAAGATGATATTTAATCCCTTTTTCTTAAACCATAGGATAATACAAGTACTCAGTCCTTTTCATAATGTATTTTCCTCCTTCTTATCACATATCTTACATATCCTATTTTTCGGTAAAAAAAAAATACACTCCATCTCAATAAAACAATTGGCTCACTTCCTGATCTGCTTAAAAACAAAAATAAGGGAACTGATGAAGCTGCTCTGTAGCTTATTTTCATATTTGTTGAAGAACACAAAAATGATCTTTTTATTCAAATTTGATCTGATTCATCAGTTTTTTTTTAATTCCAAAGAAAATTACACTTGCATAAATATTAGCTGTCCTATCATAATTAAAAAAAAAATCGACTGTCTTAATTTAATTAGGTTTTCATACCCATCCCCGAGTTTACTCTAGTTTAATTAAAAATATTCTTGAGATTGGACCGATAATGGAACGTTTCGCGATTGGCAATTAGTCTGTTCTAACAAAAATGTTGATTTTCTTCAAGTTGGAATGAAAAGATAAAAAACTTTAATCGCGCTTGGTTACCCAATTATATCTGTTTGCTACGTATCACTTCTTTTTTATAAGTTTGTTTACATACACATCTGTTATGCTTACCCCTCAAAATACATTTGAAGAGAATCTATTGTAATATAGCGTAATAATAATGTAACAGATAATATTGTAGGTGATAAACTCACCAGAGAAGTAATCAGTGGAGTTGTCTATATTGAAAGGGGCAAGGGTGGTGGTAGCCATCTTGGGGTTCTCGTCGAGGTGGGAGGCCAGGCTGCTTTGGTTCGGATGTTGGATGTCATAGATGAACTCTGGGATGATGGGTACTGCAACAGAAATAAAATTAATCGAATTTTGTTTGATAAAAGATGATTAAGTTTTTCACTGTCGCTCTTTATCTTATGATTACTTTAATACAGAAGTAATTAAGCGATGCTGCCTAACAGCCGTCCTGGATATTGTTAAAAATATTTCTGGAATAAAAAAGTATCTCAACACCTGAAATTATTATAAATAGTCTCCACTTTAGACCATCACACTGGGTTACCAAACATGAACGCTAGGAACCAAATGGACCACGGGTGAATCAATCAGACTCGCAGAGCATCACTGCTGGATTTGTGGTCGATGAAGTTGCAAGAAAGAGACCAACTGCATACATTGAGTTAAATAAAGCTTATATCAAGAAGAAGGCATTCATATGTTTATAGAAAATATATGAGCAGCAGATTGATCTCCGTGACTTATCACGGCTGATGATTTACCAGTGTATTTTCGCGCTTCTTGCCAGACGAAACATCAACAGGAAAGATGATTGAAGTACCAATTGCTTATGCATCACGACCCTGATTAAAACAGAACGCAATTATTCCCAGCTTGATCGCGAGGGGCTGGCAATAGTTTTTACAGTTGACAAGTTTGAGCCTTATGTAGCCTTACGTAACCTTTTTATTTCACTGATCATCGTCCTTGGCTTGGAATATTATTTTCTGAGAGACCTACCCCTATACGCCTCAGTTCTGGAATATTAAGGTGGTCTATTATCTTGAGTGCCTTCGATTAAAAGCTAGTCACAGTTCAGGGAAATCAAAGGGATATGCAGATTTCGTAAGCCGCCATCCTACACCATCTGCTCATACTTTGTCATTGTTTCCTGAACTTGCTGGAATACACCTTTCAGAAGCTAAGGACTCACTCCTACTTACTCCTCAGGATATTGCTAGAGAAACAGAAAACAATTAAGTACTGTTGCAGGTTACGAAATATGTACATTCATGTTGGCCAGATAAGGTGACTGATAATTTACGCTCTTAATTTAATAAGAAAAATAAATTATTAATTCAGTCAGGCTGTATACTTTGACATGAGCGGGTTATGATTCCGAAAAATCTGAGGGATAATATTCTACTTTTGATACACTCAACCCTCCATGTGGAAAACTACAGCGTAGGCATTGGATGCAGTATAGTTTGCTGGACAAATATAGACATAGTTATCACAAATACGATGAGATTACATAAGGCATGCCAAGTAGTGATCAGTATGCTAGATCAACAGATAGATCTTGACCACAAGCGCAGTCTCCATGGAAAAAAATACACCTTGATCTATCAAAGGCTAGTATCTGAAACATCAGGATTTTGGAATTTTAATAACAGTTTCATTACAGTTCGAACTGTTCTCTCAGTCAGGCCATTGGAGAAAGGATGCCATGGAGAAGTGAAGGGGATGGCGAATTCCATTTGTATTTAAGAATGATTTGAATTGTCCTAAAGTAAACTGGCGTCAATTATCAGTAACAACAGCAAATGGCCTGCTAAATTCTGCTAAAATATACCGCGCGTTAGTAATTAAGGTTGGTACCGTTAAATTAGAAATAAGCTTCCCTATAGCCACTTTGATTATGCATCTACTGCAATTAAACCAGCAAATCTTGATCTTCATCCAATTTTCCGTAGTGTAAGTTAAATGTTCTACTAGGGTTGACATAATATTCCAAGAGTAAGGTGTTAATAGCACTCTACGTTATGTAGAGATGTAAGGACACATAAACTAATTAGGTTTTCTTTTTCTGTTCATCCTCATAACATGAGTCAAATATTTGAGAATTTTATATTCTACGGTTTCCAACATTAGTGTCACGTTAACATATTTAATTCGTGAATTTCTACTTAATATATATATATATATATATATATATATATATATATATATATATATATATGAGCCTTTTATTTGACAGAATGACTAACTTTAATTTCAAAATTTTTGAATAAAGTCATTTTAGTGATATTTCTAGTTGACAAGTTTATAATATCTGTATATACCCAACTGTACTGTAAAGCTGGGTTCTACTGGACATGTATAAAAGCAAACAGATTATAAAAATACAGTAGAAATGGTTCGGCCAATAAAATGGTTAATAAAATTTACATGGTTTGGCCAACTCTCGAATATAACAATTTATCGAATATACCATGCATGTACCCACTGCATGAAAAAAACGTCTGCCAAGTAAGGTCAGTATAGCTTCCTCACCGTTTCCGTTGTATATTACAAGGTATACAATTTTTCGTAATAAAATCTTTTTCGTAGAGAATAAAATCTCTAAGAGAAGCAGAATCGGAATAGCCGATTACAGTTACCCTTCAACATTTAACAAAAGAGTGTCGTATTTAAAGATTCCATACTTGATTATGCTTAATAAAAAAAACAAAAACAAAAAATGCATACTGAACATGAATTTCCATACTGTTAGTGCAAAAGATCCTACGTAAAAATGTATTTATTGTTTTACAAGAGTGCATAAAAACTCATTATTTCTTTATGCTTTATTAGAACAATTTCAAATTTTATTGTCATCTGCTATTTTCCATTAGCAGACTACTTAAATCAGTTGCAGACTACAAGATGTCACCATTAATACACATAGAGTTAAAGTTGAAAATCTTTACATTCGAACTTTTGCTCTGATAATAGTGATATACACTACCGGATCCAGATTTAATTTTGGGGAAGGGGCTTCAGCCCGAAAGATTTTATATATATATACATATATATATATATATATATATATATATATATATATATATATATATATATATATATATATATATATATAACGATAATTAATTTTTAAAAAATCCACTGCAAATTATTTCACTATGGTATATTATTTCCAAACAATTATACATATAAAGTAACATTAAATTCCTAGTTATAAAGAAAAATGTGATTCAATGTGAAAAAATGTGAAAAAGGTGATTCCAATTATTGGACTAAACTTTTTTTTAATCATTAGAAATATGCTAAAAAATAGCATTACTTCAGTAACACATTCAAAAATCAAAACATAAGATAAACCTTTTGCAATAACACATCTAAAAAAAAAAACTAGAGACCATATCTTTGCTCCTAATTGTCCGATTTTAACGATTTTTTTTTGTTTTTTAGGAAATTCCGCAAACTTTTTAAAAACCATATAGAATTTTCACAAAAATGTGTATACTTCTTGAGTTATTCGGAATTTAATTTTACCATCTCTTGTAACTTTTTTTTGAGCTTCTTTTCGTAGAAGTATGTTATATAGATAAATTTAAAGGGCGTAGAGAAAATGACTTTAGCGAAGTTTCATTAAAATCGGTACATTCATTTAGGGGCTACAGTATATAGCAACGCAGGTTTTTCGGCCGCCATTGAAACAAGAAGGCGAATAGTAATGTCGTTGAAGGAGTATCATCCTCTGGTGACCTCTGATTTTATATTCAAATTCGAAAAAAATCGGTCTAGTAGTTTCAGAAAAAAATGCGCGGACGGCGGACAGTGGACCTGTAGTGCATAAATAAGAGAAAGTAGTGGACAGAATTCAATAAAATTGACACTACGATATTTTTTCACCAAAGCCTACCTTTTATCTAACTTTGAGCCAAATCGAACGAGCCCTTTCTGAAATATTGGCATATCTAAAAATATACGTTTGCGCATGCCTAAGCGGAAGTGCTGGATGGAATTTGATAAAATTGATATGGGACCATCTAGGCACCAATCAGCATAATCCCTAAAAATTTCATGAAGATAGGATGAACGATACTATGTGATATGCCCGTCACATCGATTTGATTACAGACAGACAGACAGACAGACAGACAGACAGACGGACGGACAGTAAGACAGACACCGAACCAAATTTGATCCTTGATGTCTGAAACGTAAAACGCGAGTGAAAATTTTCGATTCTGAATTATGAAACTCAACCGTCGAAAAGTGAAAAAAAACTTTATTGAGAAAACAAATCAAACAATGAACATTATGACATGCTAAGTACTACTGATACAGATCTCTTGCTTACTGACTAGCCTAGGATTTTATGGGGGTATATATAGGTAGAGGAGAGGGAGGCTGCTCAGAATGTCAAGTCAGCATAGTTCGTTTCCATAACTATTCCCCCCTTAAAAAGTGAGGTCCTCCGAACTAGGATGCTTGTTTTTCGGTAAGGTAGGAATGCCACGCTCTAGACCTGGCGTCGCAAAAGGATGATAGCTCGATGGGATTGCTGATAGGTGGGGGATCAGGAGTTACAATGTTTGTTAGAGGTGTGGGGTTGTTAGTCTTATTTTTAAAAATGTTTTTTAAATTTATAATAATAAAATAAAATATGGTGAATAAACAGATATATACATATTATCAAAGTAAGATATAACATAATGTCAGAATGAGTAATTACAGAATAATCTTCTAAAGGTTCTATATTTAGAGTTCCTAAGTCTAATTTATTTACATCATCGTAGCTATAATTAGTAAAAATAACATTATCAATATTATACATAGATATTATGGGTATATTTACATGTTCTTCGTATCGAATAACTATAGATTTATTTACAAATATTTCATTTCTGTCAAGGCTTATTAAACCAGTGATTGGTAAATGATATAACATGGTTTCTGTTATGTTAGTTTCAATAGTAGATAAATTAAAAGTGAGATATTGATTAAGGCTAGGTATAAGTTTAATAAATGGTTTTTGTGAAATTCCTATTATTTTACAATGTTCTAATTTTTGGTTGTTACTTAATTCTAATATACACTTATCTTCTACTAAACTAAGACTTTTGTAATTACAATAAAAGTTAGAATTATATTTTAAACATTTTCCCTTATAAAACTGGTTATTATTTCTTATAACTAAAGTATTTTCTACTGGAATAGTTACAATATTTTCCTTATAGACAATGGGATATGACAGTATGTAATATGTAGTCGAAGGGGCAACCCTTAGTGGTGATTTAATAAAGAAATAAATCATTCCCGAATCGGACATTGAACA